CATCTCTACTAAAAATACAAAAAATTAGCAGGGTGTGGTGGTGTGCGCCTGTAATCCCAGCTACTCAGGAGGCTGAGGCACGAGAATCTCTTGAACCTGGGAGGTGGAGGTTGCAGTGAGCCGAGATCACGCCATTGCACTCCAGCCTGGGCAACAGAGTGAGACTCTGTCTCAAAAAAAAGCCAAAAATTGTATGATTCCTTGTCTCTCTACTCTCTTCCTAAACTATGTCAAGGGCACGATTTAATTTAGCAAATCTTGCATTCAAACTGCATTTTAAAGGAAATCCCAGAATTGTGTAACTGAAGAATCAGCAGGCCCTTGAGTCTGTAGTTGAGAGAATTTCTCTTTTTTCCTCTTGAAAAAATATGTTGGGCAGTGTTTGGGCACCTTTTTCATTCTCCATATTTTTTAAAGATGAAAGCAATTTCATCTGAAACTTCTATTTACATTTTGGTTTGTTATTTCCAGGCCAGTGTTTAAACTTATTTATGACAGTTAGAATCTGCTCCTAGGTGATCTTAACCTTAAATTCCTTCTTACCAAAGAGTCTGAGAGTGTTCCATTTTGCATCGTTCACCATTGACATAATGCCATCACAGCTGGCCATGGATCCTAGGCTTTCTTGCTTTGGATTTAAACAGCCCTTTTCATCATCTAGAATGTTAACCTCCTTTTAAACTTTCTGACTCTTCTCACATATTCTCGACAGATTTTTTGTATCCATGCTTGTTTTTCTAGATCAGTTTTTGCATTTTACACACACCATTTAAAAATATATCTGATCTCAGCAGACAGCTTTCTACCCAAAGACACTAAATCTTTTTGGCTACCTCCTTCCTTTTTCTTTTCTTCTTCTTTTCCTTCCTGCATTGGACCATTTACAATAGTAGCATCAGAATTTTATTTTGAGGAATCTCCTCTGCTTCTTTTTGGAATCTCAGACCAGGGTGTCAAAGTCAAGCTTTTATAATTTCCTGAAATATTTTTAGGCTCAGACTAACAGAGTGTGTGTCTGGCAGTGACCACATCCCTCTGGAATTTTCTGATGACCAGGTGGACCTCTTCCAGAGTTCCTGTCACTTCTGATTTTCCCTTCAGGGCCTCCTTGTTGGCCAGAATTAGAAGCAGGGTGTTAATCCTCCTCCTCACTTCCTCTCCGTCTCCCTTCTGAAAGATGAAATTATCATGCGGGTTACTGATTCTTACCCGGGCTGCACATTCAAATCACTTGGGGAACTTAAAAAGAAAAAAGGCTGAGGCCCCACCCTGAGAGACTGTGCTTTAATTAGTATGGGGTGGAGCCTGCCTGTCAATTTTTTATTTTAAATTCTGGGGCTATTCTAATGCGAAAGCAGGGCTGAGAACACTAATTGAGGCAAATCGTGGATTTATCAGATGTTCTGAATTTAGGAAATGAGACATCTGGCAGATGGCTGGATAGTCGAAGCTCTCACCATTAAGATGTTGAATGCTTCTTTTCTCCAGTCCATTACACTTCAACACAAGCAATCTAGTTCTAGCATGTCTAAACAGGATAATGACAACCAGAACCATGATATTACTTTCTGATTGTTGATATTAATCTCAACACTGCTCTAACATCTTTAAACAAGATGAAGCTAGACAGCAAAAGTCCTTTGAAAATCTCAGAAGACATGATTTGGGACATTAGCTTTTCTGAAATTCCAAATAAAGATGAACCATGTTGCTCTTGATGGTTTTCCTTATTCATTGAGAGTAATTTGACAAAGAAAGTAAATTTAAAATGAGAAAATAAAATTTTTTTTCATCTTTTTTAGTGTTCCGGATGTTAATTAGACAAAAGGCAACTGAGATGTGAAATACATTAGAATTTTTAAAAATTTCCTCTCAGCGCATATCATATACACCACATATTTGGGCTTTTTTAAATTTTAAATTTGAGTTGTTAATTATCGAGTATGCAAGTTCAATTTTCCATAAGCCTATTTTTCTCCTTTTGCCATAGAAGTGGTCTATTTTGGCCTGGGCATGGTGGCTCACACATATAATCCCAGCACTTTGGGAGGCCGAGGTGGGCAGATCATTGAGCTCAGGAGTTCGAGACCATCCTGGGCATCATGGTTAAACCCGGCTAGTTTTTTGTATTTTTTAGTAGAGAGGGGGTTTCACCGTGTTAGCCAGGATGGTCTCGATCCCCTGACCTCGTGATCCGCCCGTCTCGGCCTCCCAAAGTGCTGGGATTACAGGCTTCAGCCACCGCGCCCGGCCTAAAATTCTAGTTCTTATCTGCTCTGAGTTAGCTGTGTAGAAAATGCTATCTGGGGACCGTCAAAGTTCAGAGGTATGGTCTGCAGAATCCACAAACACATAGGCAACAGAGAGGATAAGCAACTTGTTCATGTTGAAACACTGCAACTGCTTTCAATCAAGCCGGCCCTTTTGGGATGAAACGCATTTTGTCAATAATTCAGTTTTGCAAATGTTTTGCAATATGGTTTCATCTGACAAACCCTCTCAGTGGTGTATTTTTCCACTTTCCAAATAAAGCACATGTAGAAAAATGGTGTCAAATAACATTAATAGGTGTGTTTTGAAACTGTGGACACTAAGGAAACTAGCCTTGGTCCTTACTCCAACTCTAACTCATGGCATCTTGAGCCAGGATTATTGGAGTTTGAAAACAATGCATGAAAAGATGGTAGAATGAAAAATAGTGCCTGACAAAACAAGACACAGCTAATAGCACAGTGAAGACAGCTGATACAACATTTCTTAAAATTGGTGGGTTTAATTCAGACTGAGTGTTATTTTAACGTCTCATTCATTTTACATAGATGGACATACCTAAATACACGGAAATATTTCATCATCCCCTGCAGAATATCAACACTGAAAACAATGTATGCTTTTGTTCTGTGTCAGGGAAAAGATAATAGATTCATGCATAAGTGTTCGCAGAAGTTTTTAAAAAAAATCAAGGTATGTTTCTGTTCCTACCAAAACTGTGCAGTCTTTCTAAGCAACTCTGTTGACTTCCTGGAGAAAAGAGAAGATTCCCACTGCTTCAAATTAAGGTCCACATACTAGCAGAGGAATTATTGGTTATGACTAATTGAAAACAGATCTCGCTTTCTTTTAATTAGAAATAAGTACATTCATTTTATAAATGATTTGTCATGAGGAGAGCAATCATGTTCACTTCTGAAGTATACATCATGAGTCCCTTTTTCCACTTCTTTCCTCAGTAGTTCAGGAAAAAACATATGCAGCATTTCTAATGGTTGTTTTTTTGTTTGTTTGTTCATTTGTTTTACTTTGGAAGCAATACAATCAATCTTCTGATTTCATCCTAAAATAGTAGGCATTCCTACTTTAGTACGATTCAACCAGGATTGCACAACTGCTGGGATCAAAAGAAGACGACATTCTACCTCTTCACTTGAACTGAGTCAGTGTGAATTAATTTTAAATGTCAGACTATATTTAGATAAAACATAGTTGAAAAACAATACTGTTTGCTAAGAAAGAGGTTAATGAGGAAAATGTAATCCCTACTCGAATGCCATTGGAATGCAAAGCCACATTTATTTGCATGTGTGGTGTCTGTAAAAGGTCCAAGGAATTTTGTTTTTGGTGTTTTGAATTGTTTATAGCGTATTCTCTTTTTATTCCATCTACTAAAAATTCCCAGAAATGATGCAAATAAAAAGATGGAAAAATATAAATGCATTTGGGTTCTAAGAAAATTACCAGTTGCAACATCAGTTCTAACCACAGTTCATAAAGCAGGTGATTATGGGGACAATAAAGAAAATGTCATTAAATTAGAAAAATCCCTTGAATCTTGCCAATTCTGTGATAGCGCCTAGAAGTCTGACGATTCTAAATTGTCCATGCCAAATTTTGCAACAAAATTTCACTAATAATGATGCTCATTTGCAATGATTTAGTTTAGATATTCCAGGCTGCAGGACATGAAACACACTGGATAATTTCTTTGACATTATGGCTTATTAAATCACTTCCCAAAGTGTCAAGTAAAACAAAATCTATTGTTTTAAAAGCAACCCTGGAAGGGTCACTGACTTTTCAATAGACCAGTTTCTTGTTTCACTTTTAGGTTAATTTCTCACACATTTTTGGTTCAGGAATTGCTTCATTAAGAACACTGGATTTCAAAACAACTCCATTTCCCTCAGAGGCCCAGCAAAAGGCAGCTCAGCACTGGAAGCCACAGGCCACCAATTAACAACAACTAGCCAGGCCCTGCGGGCCACGGGCACCTTGGCAGAAAGTTGGTCATATTAATGTTCAGGCCACAAGTTCCCATTTCACATGGAGTAGCTGCCTGATTGCAGCAAAGTGCTAATGGTTAGGATTACCATTGCTTAAACTTTTATTTCATTGCCTTGATCTGTCACTTGACTGTTTCCCCCTTAGGCTTTAAAATATGCAAGAATAAAAATGAAACAAAAATTAACATGTTTATAACCTCTCCTAATATTTCTATTTCTGTCACATTCTCCAAGATACAAAGAGTAATACAGTTCTACTGTAACTAATTCCCTCTGGAAGCCTATATTGCCCTGGACTAAAGTTTTCAGGGCAGGTCTTGCTGTGGAGTTAACTCCACAGGAATGGAGCCTGCCCCGTGTGGTCCCTCCTGTGGCTCCTTCTGAACCAATGTGTCCCATCCTCTCCCTGCCCCGAGATGTGGGACCTGCCCTGCAGGAGGAGGCCTGTAGTGTCCCACTATGCCAGGGGCTGGGTGGCTAACAGCTGGTGGAGTATTCACAGGCATTGCAGCAACTCTTTCAATCTAGCTCTTATCAGTAATGCAGCTGACATTTTTAATCTGTCAATCTGATTCCTGTCACTATAAACGAGCACCAAACTCTGGCTGGGATGAGAGGCACAATTTTTTAGGCGTCTGAAATCCTAACTATTTCACAGAAATAAGTGAACTAATACAGAATTCTGTCTCTCTCTCTCTCTCTCCCTCTTTTTTTGAACAGTGTTAGCAACAAGTCCATCGTGGATTCCTGCAGCCCTGCTGCATGCACATGATCTTTGCTCCAGGATCTGGGCTGATGAGTCACTTCTCTGTATCATTGCTGACACGGTGGTAGAGGGAAAAAACCAATGAAATGTGAGTTGTCTCTACTCACATTTCACTGCTGAGTTCCAATCATATGGTCACAACCACCTGCCACAGAGTGGGAATGTGTACTCCTCCTGCAGAGATGGGTACCATGTATTTGTGAGCAATGGTAACAGTTACCAAACAATTCCCTCTGGACAAAAATTACTTAAGTGGCATATATTCGGTCTTATCTCACTCAGGAACAACTGAAGAGTCAAGGAATCAGCTCCTGAACAATATCTGCCAGTAAAGGGTTCTAAGGTGGGGTTTAGATAGCAAGGTGGGCAGAGGAAATGACTTCAGTGTTGCAGAGGAGATGCACATCCAGCCCTCCGTTCACACTGAACAAAGCTGACTTTCCCCAGTAACTTGTCATTCAACCCTCGGGCTGAAAAGTGAAAACTCACCATCTTTCCGTAAGTAGTTTGGTGCCTTACTGGGGAGTGAATGTCCAGATATAAGAGCATAAAATAGAACAAGGCTGGGTGCGGTGGCTCATACCTGTAATCCCAGCACTTTGAAAGGCTGAGGTGGGAGGATCACTTGAGCCCAGGAGTTTGTAACCAGCTTGGGCAATATAGTGAGACTCCATCTCTACAATTTTTTTTAATTAGCTGGGTGTGGTTGCCTGTGCCTATAGTCCCAGCTACTAAGAGGCTGAGGCAGGAGGATCGCTTGAGCCTGTGAGGTTGAGGTTGCAGTGAGCTGTGGTTGCGTGACTACACTCCAGCTTGGGTGACAGAGTGAGATCCTGTCTCAAACATTTTTATTTTAAATTTTAAAAAAGGACAAAATATAATCAAGTATCAAAACAGGCAGAATAGTCTGTCATTGAGCCTTAGCAAAAATTTTTGCCTAAACACTCAAAAAAGTTGCCATTTTTCCTGCTTTGGTTTGAAAGTCAGAAAAAGAAGCAGTGAGGCCTCATGGTGAAAGAGGCAGCATGAGAGCCATCCAGAATGTTTGTCCCTTCAGCCTCCTGGTTGGGCATTGTTGGCGGCCTCTCCTGGATTGGACTTATTCCCCCATCCCAAAACTACCCCCAGCTGAGGACAGCCTTCTAAACACCTGCAAAGTCTACACTACTCCAGGCCCACACTAACCCAGACCTCAGGCACGAAGCACCCAAGCAGGCTTGTTCCCTGTGTCAGTCACGGTTCAATACAGGAAACAGAAAACTCTAGATCTGCCAAGATCAGAGGGATTTAATAGGAGGTATGAAGTGGAAAGGCTAGAGGAGTCGAGTCAGCGGCAGCCATCAGAGCCCCCTACACCCACGAGGCTGGTGACTAGACAGTGGGCCATGGAGTTAGGTCACTGCTCATACGTATGTCTCCCAGAGCCCTCTCATATACCTACACAGCTGAAAAGGGAGAGCAGTTTCCTTTTTACTGCCTTTCAAATCCTATGTGACTGCACTTCATTATCAGAACCTAAATTGCATCCTGATCTCTTACAGCAAAGTGACTGGGAATTACAGTTTTTACACTTCTAGGCCTGCAATACAGGGCAGTGGGGAAACCTGGGAATGCCATGTGCTATGGACAAGAACTAACAGGCTCTCCTACAGGGATTGGTACTGAGTCACAGGCCTTAGTGGACCGTCGAAGAACAAAGTGCCGCAGTACACATGCTCTCCTGAGTCCCTCTCCCTGGGAATCTCACTCAAGATGGGAAGTCTCAAAACCAGCCACTGAGAGCCATGTTGCTGTTTGAGTCACTTTTATGGTTTGGCTCTGTGTACCCACCCAAATCTATCTCAAATTGTAATCCTCACATGCCGGGGGAGGTCATTGAATCATGGGGCAGACTTCCTCCTTGCTGTTCTTGTGATAGTGAGTTTTGACTATCTGGTTGAGATCTGGTTGTTTGAAAGTGTGTGGCACTTCCCCCCTCTTGCTTTCTCCCTCTCCTGTTCTACCACGGTAAGACATGCTTGCTTCTCCTTCTGCCTTGATTGTAAGTTTCCTGAGGACTCCCAGTCATGATTCCTTGAACATTAGGGCATTGAGGAATTGAAGAATTTAGGCACACTTTCATCTTGCCTGCCAGTCACCTTCCCAGTACACACCCTGGGTGTGGTGGCACGTGCTAGTAGTCCCAGCTACTTGGGAGGCTAAGGCAGGAGAATCGCTTGAACCTGGGAGGCAGAGGTTTCAGTGAGCCAGGATCGCGCCACTGCACTCCAGCCTGGCAGCAGACCGAGACTCACTCAAAAAAAAAAAAAAAAAAAAAAGGCAGCATTAGTGGCACATGATCATCACTATTAATGTTGCCCAGTGCTCTGTGTGTTTATTTGTCTGTGCTCCTTTCGTTTCAGTAAAAATCTTAAAATTGCTCTCTATTCTCTTAGTATTCTAGTGAATAGAAAATACTTTTATTGAATTCATCTTAATTTCAGATTTGGTGGTATTTGCAACGGCAGCCCATGTGGATGGCCACATTTTTATTACCAAGTCTTTTCCAAGTTTCAACAGCATTTTTGTTTGATGATTTTGGTTTAAATCTAGTTAATCAATATAATAGTAAAATGGGGTTCTCCCCTGTCCCTGTTAAATAATAGTAGTTCAAAGACCGGAAATATTTAAAGAACAAAATTTGAAAACTGAAATGCGTGCCTTCTAGTCTAGAATAGATTCCTACCTTCAGCTGTCATGAGAGAACCTCAAAGCCGCCCTTTTACAGCTGGGGAAATTTCTTCTTCTTTATAAGCACGCATATACTTGGTCACTTAGGAAGAGGCCACCCACACGACACAGGGCGACATGATCCTGCGCCCACAGGTACGTGCACACCCAGGCGCGAGTGCCCACCGGCCCCACAGTTCGTCTGCATCAGTCAGATTCAAGATGCCGTAGAGTGGAACCTTAACCTCTTTTGGCTCTTCTTCCCCCAAATCAAAACCCACATTAAACGCCGCGAAGAACCAGGAAACCTCATGGCTTTAATCATTTCCTTTCCCCGAGATCCACGTGGCACACAGGACACTCCGTTTTCCTTTAGGGTTGCCGTCATCCTGCGAGAGGTGCGGAAGAAGAAAAAAGCAAATTTACGTTTCCAAAGAGCGGAAGAAGTAGAGAGAAAGTGCTAACCCGGAGTGCGCTCTTCACCTCTTCGCTCTACTCCGAGCAAGCAAGGAAATCCTCCAGCTCTAGCAGGGATTGAGGGTTAGCGCCACCTGGCTTTCTGAAGAAGAACAAGAGGCAGGAGGTAGATGAGGCTGAAGAGGAGCCCGCGCCCTCCTTTGCTCCTTGGGCACCAGGCGAGTGAGAAGGACCTGAGCGCTCTTCGCTTCAGAGCCCAGGGCAGTCGGGCTGCTGGCCACTGCGCACTGCGAAGAGACGCAATTACCCTTCTGGGAATCAAGAAATCCGGAAACGTCTCTTGATACTGGTGTTAAGAGTAGTGGATTCCACATTTAAGGCAGCCGTGAATTGCAGAAATAACTGCGGCACTAAAAGTATTACAAACAAGCACCGATCAATTTACGCATTGATTGGTTCTGGCTCGTTTCTATCAACCACCTATTCTATGTAAACTTCTTACACCGGCTGTGCGGAAGGAAAAAGAAGACAGGAAAAAGGCTATCAAAATCCTAGGATTTTGATCACTGTGTGGCAGCGTTGGAAAGGAGTCAGGTTAAACGAATAACGCCCCGGAGCCCCCGTTTATTCACATGCAAAATAGGGAAAACAGTGCCTTCAGCACCTGCCCCAAGTGATTGGAAAACCAAAGGAAAAACTGGTTGGAGAATGCCTTCAACATTACCATTTCTACTATATTCTTGTTTTATTATTACACAATATCGTCGTATTATAGTCATAGTGAAAATGGTTATCATTATCCATTCAGTGTCTTATAAATTTGCACTGAATTTTTATTTGCATATATGGATATAATGAATTCACAGAATGACTATTAATTTGAGGGCATTGCCACAAACTGCTTTATCTAGAACTTGGACTAGTTATCAAAAATTAATTATCTATTTCGGCATGACTTTTAAAGGGTGAAATCTAGAGAAAGCTGTTTGGAAACTGCCTTTCCATGTAATCAGTCAAGAATACAAACACAGATGCACGGATGCATATAATACGTGCACACTATGTGCACATATGAAAATGTGTACATGCATGGGAAATACGGGTTTGCATTTATTATAATAATGATTCATGTACATTGCTACTCCGTTTACAAAAGACTTTTGCATTCACTTTTCATGTAGTCCTTACAACATTAGGAGGCATTGCTGGTCCTCATTTTACAGATGAGGAAACTGAAGCATGGAACAATAACTTTCCTAAAATCTTGATGAGAAGTTATAGAACCAAAGCCATTTATTCAATTCTGTGTCATCCTCGTATCCAGCAAACATATCATGGACAATTACTGTGTGCCAGGCACTAAAGCCTGGTGGCCACAAAGATCAAAGATATATTCCACTGGCTTCAAGAAACTCACACCTCGTGGAGAAAAAAGAGAAATTACTCTCCTGAAGGATATATACTCCACAATCAGCCTCGGGCTTTAGTGAAGACTTCCCCAAAGAGGAGATGCCCAGGCTGAATTTTGAAGGACAAGAATCCTTCTAATAAAGATGGAGGGAGGTATGACCCAGGCAGAAAGACAACATGTACAAAGATATGAAGGCAAAAGAAACGAGAGTATTCAATATAGCTCAGAATCATGGCTTAATGTATATATAGGGACAGTGGTGAGAAAGATTATAAAGAACATTATTGAGGTTTTCCTGAAGTCTATGGGGGAATGAATGAAAGATTTTAAGTAGAGAAATGACATGATCCAATGTCATTTGCATTAAAGATCAGTCCAGCTGCCATGACTACAGACTGGAGGGTACATTAGCAGTAGGAGAAATGATGGAATGATGCAGGCAAAACTCAGTATTTGTCATTACTAAGGCAGGGGGTTATTTGAAAAAAAAAAGAGAGAGAGAAAGAGGGTGAATTTGAAAGATACTAAGGAGGAGCTCAACCGTACGTTGCTAGGTTATTAGCCTGAGCACCAGGTGGGTAATGGTGTCAGTCATGTAGACTAAGAGAAGAGGCTATTGGTATGCAACAGAGACTAGACATAAATTCTGTTTTGAGCATAGTGAGTTTAAAAAACTAAATACATCTATATGGAAATGTCCTCTAGCAGAGAGTTGGATATTCAGATCTAGCGCTCCAAGAAGAGGTCTGAATCATAGAAAGATAAGGCACTGGTATCAACTGAAGCCAAATAATGATTAATAATAGTATTTGCAAGCAGGCATCAAGTACTTACTATGTATCTGGCACTGTGCAAAGCACTTTTAGTAGATAATCTTATTTAATCCCCACAACAACCTCACAAGGTAAGTATTCTGATTAAGTATGGCTCAGAGAGAACGTTTAATGTAAGAGGTCCAAAACAGGACCCTGATGATTACATTTAAAAAGAATGGCGGCCGGGCGTGGTGGCTCACGCCTGTAATGCCAGCACTTTGGGAGGCTGAGGCGGGCAGATCACAAGGTCAGGAGATCGAGACCATC